CGAGTCATAGGTTTATCAAGATAAGTGAAGTTGACTTAAATTTGCTTTTTCAATACTATATTTTTAGATTTTTTTTATTTTTGATATTAAGTTATTAGATGTTAAATTTTATAATTTTTATTTATTTTTTTTGCATGTTATTTCGGTTATTTTAATAAATTTAATCTGATTTATGTTAAATTATTATCATTTGAATATTATTTTTTTTCTTTAAAAAAATTTAAAGAGATTGCGATATAGCGCAATGATCACTTTCTAGCATGCTCTATTACGGCAGCATGAAGCAGTGGTAATTTAATTTGGAATAAGAACATCTTCGTTATCAAGGAAATCCACCTCCAAGCAGTGGTAATTTAATTTGGAATAAGAACATCTTTATTTTCAAGGAAATCCACCTCCAAGAGCAACGCCATCACCGCCACCAAACCCACCACCCCCATCAGCACCTCCTTTCAATCCACCTCCAACCCCACCACCAGCACCCCCCACCAAATCGACCTCCACCGCCTAGCCCCCCAACCAAATCCACCTCTGTCATTAAACCTAGGGCGATGAAACAAGGTTTTCTCGTCCTCAAAAGAACCCTTTCCAGTACTTTCCTAGCACTAATAGAGCAAACTGTATTGCTAAAAAGCAAAAATAGAAGCAATTTAGGAGCCATCTTGCCACGTGTTACGATTCGAGTTATCAAGAAATTAAAGTTACTAGCTTGCAAATAAAGAATGTAAGCCTACAGTACTATCTCCAGTACAAAACAGAATTACTAGCCTTCAAACAGAGAATTACAGCATGTGTTGAATGTGAAAAACGTGAAGAGCATGACTGTAAGTTAGGAGGTAATTAGTTGTTGAGTTAGTTAGTAGTTAGCATTGAATAAAGGGATTAAATCAGTTGTAATTTTAGAGAAAACCATTGTATATAAACTGGTGTGTGGAAGTGTGCTGGAGGAGAAGAAAATACAGAATATTAATCTCATTTCTCTGTTTATTCCTCTGCTCTCTTTTCTTTCGATTCTTTCTCAATTTATGTTCTCTTTTCTTTCTATTCTTTCTAATCTTATTAAGCTAAGCTTAACAATTCGTATTAGAGCTCTTAGATCCAATCAACATGGTGGAAAGTCACAAATTAAAAAATGTTGAAGAACATTGCAAGAGGTTGGATGAAAGAATGTAAGGCCTTCACCAAGAATTTTAAGAATCAATGGCTGATCAACAAAGCAAGTGGCAAGAACAATGGGTAGAGCAAAACAAGAGATGTGATCAGATCAGTTCGCAGATTGAAACATTATGAAAACAATTATAAACATTTCTTGCTAATCAAATAACAAGAAAGGATTTGGGAAGCCACTCCAGCGGAATATTGAATACACCAACAATGGAATTAAGAAGGAATGCTACCAAAAGTAAGGGGTCACATTTCGGGAGAGCAAACTGGCAATTATGAACATCAAAAAGTTGTGTATAATCCATCATTTCCAAGGATAAAACTTACATCATTCTGAGGTGAAAATCCTAGTGGATGGTTGAGAAAGTGCATTAAGTTTTTTAAGCTCAATTCAACTCCTTCAAAACAATGGGTGGAACTGGCCTCTCTGTACTTAGAAGGTAAAGCAGAAATTTGGTTTGAAGGTTATATGTGTGGCATGGAATGTTCAATGGATTGGGAAGGATTTTCAGGAGCCATATGCAGCAAGTTTAGTAATAGGGCTGAGATAGTAGAGGAGTTTAACAAGCTAATGTAAGAAGTTGATGTTGATGAACATGTGGAGAGCTTTGAGGAGTTAAAGTCATTAATGCACTCATTGAATCCTTCATTGCCTGAGTCCTCCTATATTTTCAATTTTATTAATGGATTGAAGGAAGAGATTAAACCGATGCTAAAGATTCTCAAGCCTACTACCTTAATACAAGCCTTTGATCAAGCAAAATGGCAAGAAGAATCAATTGTTGTTGTTGCAAGAAGAAGCATAATTACTTCTAGAATTAGTTTTTCATTCAACAATGAGAGACCAACAGGTATTACACCCTATAAACCTTTCAACCAGTATAGAGTTGATGAGCAACATAGTCCAAGACAATCTAAATACACATTTTATAATCAGACAAGGAAATCTGGATTATGCTTCAAATGTGGTGATAAATTTGTACCTAGACATAAATATAGTGTTTTGATTGAGATACGAGAGGATGAAAATGAGAAGTTCTTAGAAATAGAAGAAAGGAAACAGGGTTGTTGTTATGTGATTGGTTAAATGATACCATGTATTCATAAAGAGACAACATACGAAGATCTAGAAGGAATTAAGTGGGCATTTTCTATGTTTTGTTATGGATTCTTGAGGTCAAGAATTTTTTCAAGGGAAAGGTGTTGTTACGTTTCAACTTACCATGAAATTAAGGTTACTAGCTTACAAATAAAGAATGCAAAGAATTGTAGTAAGTATTGAATGCAAAAAACATGTGAAAAACATAAAAAGCATGACTATTAGTTAAAAGGTAGTTAGTTGTTGAGTTAGTTAGTAGTTAGCAATTGAATAAATAGATTAAATCAGTTGTAATTAGAGAGAAAACTATTGTATATAAATTGGTGTCTGAAAACGTGTTGAAGAAGAAGAAAATACAGAATATTAATATCTTTCTCAATTTCTGTTTTTTTTTCTTTCTATTATTTCTATTCTTGTTAAGCTCACCAAGTTCTGATGGCAAGCTACTCCAAGATGGCACTTTGGTGATCAAAAGTGGAGGGTTGAAGGAAGGTTCAGGGAGATGTAAGTGCAAGTGACGGTGGAGAGAGTACGGCGGAGTGTCTTAAATTTTGCTCATCTTCTGATCTACCAACCGCGTTGAGACAGTTATGACATCCAACTGTCCCTTTTGAATAAACCCTACCCTACTCATCCTGGCTTCCTGACCAATCCAAGTGGATGTTTACTTTTCCTTTTCTTTTTTTTATTCTTTCATGCAAATTATTTGCAAATACACACACACATATATATATATACACACACACACACACACACACACACACATACAACACACACACATATATACATATATATATTTGAACTCCTTGAAAAGATTTGCTGATGGAGAAAATTCCATCAGCAATCTCAATCCAAGAGATCTCATGTCCTGATCAGTAGTTGTCTCTCTGATCTACTTGATAAAGTTCCATTCTCATACACTATGCAGAGCAGGGCATGCTTGTGAGGAACGATATCAGATAGAAACAACCTCGGGAGGCCAAAAATACTCTGTCACGCTCAGAATCTTAATCTGTGCTCAAAACAAAATCATACTCTCTCCCCGAAGATACTATGCAGTGTTTTGATTATATTTTAAACTGAAGTGTTTTTCTTTTCTTTTTTGAACTTTAATATATATATATTTAGGCATCCTTGTGACGTTTACTATCCTGGATCTACAAGTGTTCACGTTCAAGTTCGGGTCTAGAATTTCAATTGAAATGGTCCGCCACGTTCAAGTTCGAACCATAAATAAACATATATTTCAAGTTTCTAACGTTCAAAACCAAGCATAAGAACGAAAATTAAACCCCCATTTCAGCTAGCTGAAACAAGAATAATTGCAACGTGAATAAGGATTCTTTCGGAAACATGACAGAAAGGAAGAAAAAATAATTATTAAGTTATACTTATTTAAAACAGTAATAATATAGAGTGAGAATAACTTCGTTTTTACTTCCATCACTATACAAAAGAAGCGTAAAAAAGATAATCGAAAGTGAAAGAGCAAAAACAGTACAGATAATATATATATTTGCTCCGAGTTAACTAAAGTCATGTTCGGTGGCAGGGATGACTCAGGGAATCTCGCTTCTGAAATAAAAAGAAGCACAACAACTCTTGTGATTGCACCTTTGCAGCAAAAGTACAAGGAACAACCTTGTAAATAACGACAGTAACAGGAAAAAAGGCCCTGAATTCATGTGTAGCGTAGACAGAAGAGAGGAAGAAAACACCCTGTTATGATTAGGTGCAGTTTCTATGGCATTCACGTCACCCTTGTGAGGAAGAGGGAGAGGGGTGCGAGAGAGTTTAAGAGAGACAGGGAGGGGAGGACAGCTGCGGGAGGAAAGAAATGAGGGTAAAATAGGGTTTTAGAGAAAAATTGGCTTTGTATACCCGGGGCTTGGGTTTAGGGTTCAAACTTAACCGTTCGGGTTGTTTGGGTTCAATTGTTTTTAGAATTTTGAATCCAAAATCAAACCAGGCTGACTTTTTTTTTAGGTTTTCTAATTAGTTAATCTTATTTCTTTTCTCAGTTCGGTTTTTTTTTTTTCTCTCTGTGTAATTGGTTTTTTAGGTATTTTTAAACAACCCTACCTTAATCATGACCAATCTGTAGCATCATCAGGCCCTTTAGGTAGCATTTGAGAACACAGTTTAAATATTGTTCGGTAAAATTTTGATTTTTTTTGCTTAATTTTTTTTGATATATTTCTATTAAAAAATATTTTTAAAAATATTATTTTCATATATTTTTAAATAAAGATATATTTTAAAAAATAACCTTCATGCATCGTTTCCTAAATTATTGTGACACTTGGTGTAATAATTGATTCAAAAAGGAGTTTGAGTAACTAGGTCACTGGATCAAATTCTTGCAAATTATCATGTCAATCATTTAGTATGGTTCTCACCCTTGGTTTAATAATTAATTTAAAAAATAGTTTGAGTAACAAGATCATTAGATTAAATCACGAATGATTATGTCAATTATTTTTTTAAATAATAATATCTTATTTATATTTTAAAAAAATTATTGTAAATTATCCATTCAAAATTGGTAAGGTGACAATAATTTAAAATTAATTGGTTTTTATTATGTCAATATTATCTTTTATTTAATTTAAAATTCGGCATGAATGATATACGAGATCACAAATTTTCCAAGTCAATCCTGCTATCGGATTTAACAACTATATTTATTAATGTGCAGTTTATCTTTGCGTTTAGATTTTGAAAAAAAAAAAGATAAAGGATTAAAGTTGAAGATAGAAATATTTCACGTACAAGCTACAGAACATAACAGAGATACATCTTGAGTGGTTGTCTTAACATATGGAACCACCTCCAAACCCGCATAAGTAACAACAGTAAATTATTAAGAAAAGCAACATCTTTATTCTTTTAAGGAAATCCGCCACCAAACCCGCCGCCAGCGCCGCCGCCAAACCCACCACCAGCTCCTCCACCAAGTCCACCACCACCACCTCCTCCAAATCCTCCTCCACCTCCAGCTCCACCTCCAAGGCCAGCACCAGCACCACCTCCAAACCCGCCACCAGCACCGCCACCCACTCCTCCCCCCCCACCACCTCCAAATCCACCACCCCCACCAGCACCTCCTCCCAATCCACCTCCAGCCCCCCCACCAGCACCCCCACCAAATCCAGCTCCACTACCTAGCCCACCGCCACCTCCACCACCGAGCCCACCGCCACCTCCAGCTCCACCACCAAACCCAGGGCGGTGAAACAAATTTTTCTCGTCCTCAAATGAACCCTTTTCAGTATCTACAAGTTTCCTAGCACTGGTGGAGCAAACTAGAGCACTAAAAAGCAAAAACAGAAGCAATTTAGAAGCCATCTTGCCAAGTTCTGATAGCAAGCTACTCCAAGATGATATTGATCTGGTGATCAAAAGTGGGGGGTTTTATAGAGATGTACGTGAAGAGTACAGTTGAGAGTCTTAAATTTTGCTCATCTTCTCATCTAATAACCGCGTCGAGAGAGTTAATACGCACAGCTGTCCCTTTTGAAAAAGAAAACCGTAACCATGGCGCCCTAGCTACTCACCCTGACCATTCCCACTGGATGTTCGCTTGTGATCCTATTGACTTCTTTCTTTCCAGAATTATTTGCATGCACTTAATTTGTTCTACTTTCTGCATGGATTTCAGCTCTCTTTAATTCAGGATTCTAGACTTCTAGTAGCCTCCATTACTACCATCTTTTTGTCAACTGATCTATATATGCACACCACTAAATTTAGAAGAATCTTCATTTATTGAAGAACTTCTGAGACTATATATAATGGTGAATTTGTAGGGAAAATTCAAGTTATATATGTATTGATTAAGCACACAATCATAATATAATCAGGACCAGCAGTGGTAGTGTAGTACTCACACCATTACTTCTTTAAATACAAGGATGATATTGCATTGTAATTTACTGCATCCACATATCAAATTCAAGGCAAGATAATTGATTGGCATCATTTATCTTACCTCCATTATTCCCTTGGCTCTAACTTGCCATCCAAAAAAGTAAATGCCACGGTGTTTGATGCGTGGCACTATCAGTTATCTTTTCATTTTTATTTTCTCTCTTGGAAGATACAATCACAGAGTTGATTATTTTCTTATCATTACAGTTCAGGGAGGGGAGTGTTGAAAAGGGTTTCCCCCCCTTAATGGTTAGGGTATCTTGAACCATATATCTTCGCACACCAAAACGAAATTCATCTCTGGCTAAGCCTTAAGCAGGCCATCCAAATTCAAACCGATATTGCATTTAGAAAAGAAAATTGGGATTCGTTTTTCTATAGCATGGAATAGCTGGCCAGCAAAAACCATGAGCCTGTTTTCCGCTAGATGGCAGGAGGAAATCATAGTTAATTTCCAAATAGTGGAATGGGAGACAGCGACCGAATATTCTCTTGCCATGGTATGGAACACATCCTGATAAGGGCTTGTTAAGGATGAATCATAATACTGTAGCTTTCTTTTTCTTGCAATTAATTGAATCACGAGTGATTTTTCTTATTTTTTATGAATGAGAATTTTTATTAATTGAAAAAATGAATTGGGTACCATAATTGTCATACTCAGAACAAAATTTGACCTAACTCAAAGTTCGAGTCAGTAATTTGTCAGATCAACATGTAAGTTAGTGAGTTAAATTAAATTTATCCCAAAACGATATTATTCAGAATAAAAAAAAGAACTAAAACAAAATTTTAAAAATAAAATAATAAAATGACTTTGCAAGGCCTATACTAGATTTAATTAGCCAGATCCGCTTAATCAATCCAAACCTGGTTCGATCATTTGGGTTCACTTGGTTCAATTGTTAGTTTGGTTCATTGATAAACTTGACCAAAATCTGGTCTTGAGTTGATGGTTTTTTAATTTGAACCTCTAGACCGGATTAAATTTGATAGCTATGCTGTTTGCAGAGTGGATGATCCTACTGGTGATATACCTAAAAAAAAGGTTCGTTTAGACCACAACCTAAACGAAATGAAATAAAAAAAAAAAAAAAATGGCACAGTGAGATCACACCAACAATAAAGCAGTAGAAGCGAAAAGAATACAGCAGAAATACTGAAACCAGATATAAATAATCGACAGTTGGTGCTTTACTCAAGCAGCAGAAGAGAAGTACGTCTTAAGATATTGTCTTAACATAGGCTCCATTAAAGCTATGATCAAGTAGTAGCAATAGATAATACATTTGGAATAAATATGATCGTTTTTTAAGGCCATCCACCTCCAAGTCCTCCACCAGCACCACCACCGAACCCACCACCAGCTCCACCACCAAGTCCACCACCTCCTCCTCCTCCAAATCCTCCTCCACCTCCACCTCCAAGGCCACCACCAGCTCCAAACCCGCCACCGAAACCGCTACCGGCACCCCCATCAATTCCTCCTCCTCCACCACCTCCAAATCCACCACCACCACCGCCTCCTAATCCACCTCCAGCCCCACCACCAGCACCCCCACCAAATCCAGTTCCACCACCTAATCCTCCTCCACCTCCTAACCCACCTCCACCTCCACCGCCACTGCCTAGGCCCCCATCAAACTTGGGCCAGTTAAACAAAGTTTTCTCGTCCTGAAAAGAACCCTTTCCATCTACAAGTTTCCTAGCACTGGTGGAGCAAACTAGAGCACTAAAAAGCAAAAACAGAAGCAATTTAGAAGCCATCTTGCCAAGTTCTGATAGCAAGCTACTCCAAGATGACACTTTGGTGATCAAAAGTGGAGGGTTGAAGGAAGGTTTATAGTGGTGTAAGTGCAAGTGACGGTGGGGTGTCTTCGAGAGTCTTAAATTTTGATCATCTTCTCACCAGAAACCCGTGTTGAGACAGTTGTTGAGGCATACGCTGTCGCGTTTGAAAAAGAAATCCTTAAACCTGCCCTACTCCTCCTGACCAATCCGAGTGGGTGTTTTTTTTTTTGGATAATCATCGAGAGCCAAGTGGGTGTTTAATTACTTTGCCTTCTCTATTGACTTTAAACATCCAGAATTATTTGCATGCATTTTTGTTCTACTTTCAACTTTATCTTTAATTTAGGGTTCTAGTGCCTAGTTACCTCCATAGATTCGCCTCTACATAGAGCGACCTGAACCTAATGATCCGGATAGAATTTCATGCTGGACGGTAAAAGATATTCACCTGGTGAATCCAATTGATCCAGTCGGGTTTTTAGTGATGTTATTAACCTGATCATACATGATTTTGACTACACGGTTATTTTCAAGAATTTTTTATAAAAAAATAAAATTATATTAAATTAACTAAATAACTTAGCGACTTAGTTTTTTGTTTCAAGTCAATATTGTTGGGGAATCCGACCAGTGATATGCTGATATTTACTCATAAGAGGTTTAGTACACTGACACAATATTTAACGTAGTTCGGCAAATCGTCTACATCTACGAGAGAGTCGATATTATTGAAGATAAAGAAAGAACACAAAACAAATACATGGAGGAAAAGGATTACACCACTCTAACTCAACTCCTAGCTCTCATACACACTGCTGCACATCGCAATAGGGTTGCTGCCCTTGGCAACCCCTCTTTCTCTCTTCTTCTCACATGTTGCACTCTCACACTCTTTTATTTTGCTCTCAAACAATGCATTTATTTATAAGTAATTCATAGCAGATAAGAGATCATAAATCATGACACAAATTGTGGCACTAATGGTGGCAACACATGGATTGCATCATTTTTGTCAATGGTGGTGCAACTACCATTATAACTTTTGATAATAGTAACCCTACTTCTTAGGGTAGGTTTCACAATTTATAACTATTAATGGTAAATCCTAACAAATACCTAGCCCAAGTTTGACAACTATACTCAACATAGAAGAAGGAGATATCCAATCCCTTCCTCCTAAACCTTCTCCTCTCATCCATCCTTCTCTCAATCCCTCCTAACAAACAAGGTGTCAAGAGATCAGCTGATGCTCATAAAAATATAGCCTAGCAACCTGATGATATTACCACATAAGTTCCAATGTAGGATGTCTTTGTTCCTTTAATTGATCTAGAATCTTAAATGGTACAACTTAATAGCATTACACTTCAGGATATAAACATTAATTCCCATCTGCAAGGTGGAATTAGGAGTGATCATCTACAACAATATAAGAGAAGTCATCTTGTATGCTACAAAATGGTTAAATAGCAAAGGTGAAAGAGGATCACCATGTTTTAAAGCCTCTCTGAACCCCAAATTCTCTACTGGGAGAACCATTTATTAGAATCGTAGGTCGTGATTGTGTTAAGCATTCCAAGATCAAATTTCTCCATTTTATCCCAAAACCCATATATGACATGACTTCCTCCAAATACTCCCATAATACTGAATCAAAATCTTTTTCAAAGTCAACTTTGAAAATAAAACCATCATTGCCAGTATGTTGTTTATGAATCACTTCATTTGCTAGCTACCATGCATATAACCATCTAGAATCTGTTTACCAGTAATGAATCCCGTCTGATTCGAAGTGGTAATAATGGGCATATATAGTTTGTTTAAGTCTTACTGAAAACAGTATAGCTACAATCTCATTGGCTTGTAATCAGCAAAGCTATTAGGGGACTTACATTTAGGAATTAAAGTTACACGAGAAGTATTGATACCTTTAGGCAATTTTTCATTTCTAATAAATTCGTTCACCAGTTGCAGTTCTTCTGTGCCTATTAGATGCCAAGCATTCTTGTAAAATGCAAGAGTGAAACCATTCGGCCAGGAGCTTTAGAGCCGTCACAATCCCACACTGCCAGCTTTACTTCCTCTGTAGTTTCCTCTTGCTCTAACAGTAGCAAATTTGTCGATCTTTTTCCAACCATCATGATTTTTATATTGTAGTAGGTAGTAGTTGGTTGATATTTATTAGGTTGCATATGGGTTACTGCCAAGGCCTTTATATTTTCTTTTATAAATAGAGATGAAAGAGTGAGAGATAAATAGAGAGTGCAAGTGTAGAGAAAGTGTGCAGTGGTGAGTGCAACTATGAAATAGTGAGAAAGTACAGATTTGAGAGAAACATCGAGTGTAAGAGTGAAACACTGGGTTTTGTAGAATTGTACTAGATTGAGTTGAGTGTTTATATCATTTCTTTAATAATATACACTTTGCTTTCTCCGTGGATGTACCCGGTTTTAGAGAACCACAAAAATCTGCTTGTTTGTATTTTATTTGTATTTGTTTTCGATCTAGTATGCACAACACTAACTGTTGAGACATCAACATAGTGATAGACTTGAAGCCCTTACCTCTCATAGTTGCTAGTGATATGTTTTTCTTACTGTACAACCCCTAGTAAGAGATTGCCGCTTCTTTGATTGTTTCTGGCATGTTTCATTCTACACCATCGAATTTAATTCTCAAGATCGTGTTTCTAGCCTTTCTAACATTCGCTGCCATGTGAAAAAATCCCTTGTTCTAGTCTCCAAGATTACACCAATTCTCTCTGGACTTCTGTCTCCAAATAGCTTCTGCATGTTTACTGACCTCCCTAAGAGATAAGGTCATTTAGATTGCTTTGCTCATCCTCAGTTAATGCCTTTAATTCACCCTGTTCCTCAAGGATCTGTATCTTCCTTTGCAACTCAAACAACCTAATTTCCTGGTTCCTGAAAAGTTGTTTTTTTTTCCCAAACCCGAATTTTGTGCGATAACAGACTCAGTTTTTTCATCAAAGAGAAATCCCCTAGAAATTGATGGCAACATTGTTGCCAAAACTCATGAAGATCCTTCATAAAGCTTGTGGTATTTTGGAGCAATGTTGCAGGGAATAGATAGTGGAAAGATTTTAATTAATCTGAAGTTTATGTTTCTATATTTAGCTAGTTAGTTAAACGAATCTCGAATTTTTATTCTTTGTAATGTGATTGTGTAACACAATTATGCCATATTTAATTCTATCAGCTTCTTTAAAAAAAAAAATGTTCGTCCATCCCCAATCTTGTTGACCTGACTGAAGCATGAATTGGCAGTGATCCGATAGACCTCCCGGATATCTTATTAACAACGAAGTTTGGAACTGGATATGGCAAGGTGTTGTTGCGAAAGCTGTAAATCCGCATTGCTTTTCTCCAATTGAGTTTTCTGCTGAGACTTCATCTTTATCCTGTATCATGTAGGTTGAGAGACTGGCCATGGAATATGATATAGATAATTCAGGGAGTGGATAATGAGTAGAGTCTATTTCACCAATTTTGATTTTGAAATAAGCTCAAGTGAGATGCATTTTGATTACTGTATTTAAAATTTCCTCATTATTGGTGCCAACTAGAATTCTCAATGCAAACAGCGTTGGAGACCGCACGCTTGTCTTATCAAAGCCAACTAACCTGCCAAAGCCGTGTAACATTTTGCCAATGCATTCCATTTTCCACCCAACATTTGGTAAGTTTATGATCGATATCCAAGCCAATCTGTCAATGGCATAATCCACTGTATTCCAAGGTCTAATTTCATCAACGAAGTTAGTCAAGCATGTCGATTCATGACTCTCCAGTGCTTGTTTCATCTCGCCATATTCTTCAAATATGATCAGTACTTGAGATGCACCAAGGAACCAGACTAGTTTTCAGCCAAGTTTATTCCCACTAAAGAGCTTTTGTATAAGTTTATTTTCAAACCCGAGATAGGCTCAAACCATCTTAGTTTTCTTCTTTTTCTTTCTATTTCTCTATGCATGAATTAAAGAATTTAAATCATTTGGAATAAATATCAAAGTATCACCCGCTTACTGCAAATGGGTTATAAAATCTCAAGGATTAAACTGATCAATACCCCTAGAGTAATCCAAAGCTGAAGCTCTGTGGAAAAGCACAAATAATCAATCCCTCTGTTGCAATATCAAATAGCAAAGGTGAAAGAGGGTCACCCCGTTTTAAGCCTCTTCGAACCCCAAATTCTCGACTGGGAGAACCATCCCTTCCAGTATCTAAAGGGGAAAGTTCTTGTCTGTGATCACGGAAGTAGTGCAAGAGTGGAAAAAGGGTTGGTTGTTAAGAAAGCTGGAGGCGTTGATTCTTGCTAATGGAATTTCTAACTGTGAAGGTTTAGTTTATGATGCTCATTTAATTCCTGCTTGGACTAATGTTATTTTTCTAACTAGATTGTACACTGAATTCAACACTCT